TATTTTCCAGTGGATCAAAATGAGATTAAATACTACCATAAGTGTCGACTCATATTTGGCATGGTTACAGTATCTAACATGGAGCCAGAGAGATGGCTCCGTGGTTAAGAGCCTTGCTGCTCTTGCAGAAACCCTGAGTTTGGTTCCTAATAACCATACCAGGTAGATCATAACCACCTCATAACCAGCTCATAACTACCTATAACTCCATTTCCAGGGGATCGAATGCCCTCTTCTGGCCTCTAGTTTCCTACATATATATGATACAAAGACACATACACATCAATGAAAATAAAAGTAACTTTAAAAATTATGCTGGTGAGTTTGTGTCAGTAACGTTAACTAAGTGCCACCTCAACTAGGGACCTGTACCAACAAACGGGAACCATAGGACTGGCATGCGGCTCTGCGGCAGAGCGCTTGCCCAGCCTGCACCAGGACCTGACTTCATCCCTAGTGCAGCAAAATACGGACAACTGGGACAGCAGGCAAAACTGAATCGTGTCTAAGTACTGATCTTACCCGGTAGGATGTTATGATTGCACACAAGCAAGGAAATGCTGAGCATTTGATAAAGGCTTGTCAAAACCGTTTCCCTCTGAATCTTACAGTCTTACTGTGCTATGCTCCTTGAGTCCTGTGATACAATGGTGCAGAGGGAGAGAACTGTTGGCATCGACTGACCTGTTTCATTTGTGTGTTTTCAGGCAAATGGACACAGTTTTGTGCACATGGAACACGAAAAAGCTGTTTTACTACTGAAGAGCTTCCAGAATACAGTAGACCTAGTTATTCAACGTGAGCTCACTGTCTAAATGTTTTTATAAATAGTGAAGATATGTCAGGCCAGAGCTAATGTTCAAAAATAAATTTATACATAGAAACCAATTTTGCCAGTTGCTGGACCAATGGCAAACATCAGTGCCAGGTGTATAATATTGTACGTTAGCCTTGACCACCCTGGAAAATGTTACCTATAAACACGGCGTTCGTGCGTGGCTCTGTATCAGTTCCAGCGGCAGCCTCTGGCTGTGCATTGGTGCGGTTTTGTTTCTGTTTTTGTTTTTTAATCAAATAAGTTGTCTTCTCAGAGTGGATTTCCTATCATTTCGGAGCACGGAAGCACACACAAGCTCTTTACAAATTCTGCTCTCCATCAGAAATACTGCCTCAAAAGTTGTATATAAAGAGTTGTAATCCCCATTAAGTATTTCTAGCACAAGGTATATGTTGGCATATATACAAAAAAAAGAATATAGAAAAACGATATTTTCGTAAATACCTTGGATTGAGAAAGAAAATATATCTTAAAATAAGACTTTACTATATTGAATCTTTTTCAATAAAAATTACATGATTACGCCTTATGGAAGCAACTGTACATAAAGTATAAAGTATTTATATTTGGTTCCACAGCCATTTGCTAAATTCCCATAGCAAAGTGAAATAGTTCATAAATTATCATTAATCTCTGGGACCTGAGTAATAATCGGAGAAGTTAAATCTGTTCAATGCCTTTAGCTAATTAAAAGGACACAAGCAGACTTTAGAGACAGACCACAGGCTGTGGTGGACCGGGTTCTTCACTACAACCACAAGTGAGTGACGGGTGGCAGGGAAACCCTAATGCTCTGATGTTCTGTTTCCTCGGGGTTACGCTGACCAGAGACCGCGGCCCCGTGATCCCTTTACTGTAAATGTGGAACTTTTCCGTGTGCTGCTTTGTTTAATTTGCTACTTTTAAATCATTTTCAATGAACTTTGGGAATTGATGACATTTATTACAGAGAGAGACTTGTTTGAAAGCTATGGTGGGTGATTTCAAAACTTTGGTATTGAAATATGAAACTTCAGATATAATTTCTCAGAGCTGTGGTCTAACTGGTGTCATTAATCTTAATGCCTGTTTTTTTTTTTTTTGCAGACAGAAATAGATTAAAATTTTTTTTCTCCAAAAAAAAGTTTCAAGAAACATAAATACAAATGCAATCATAACAGAGAGTCTAATGTACTTTTACATTGTTTCCCCTGTGAACGTTCAAATATGTTTTATAATCCTTTAAGTTACTTCTTTTTATAGTAGTCACTAATTTGATTAAATTATTAATTTGAAATTTCAGATCAACTTTCCATAATTGGTTGTATACATTCCCTCATATGCCGACATCACTTTTTTATAGGACAAATTTATCTTATATGCTAGTGTTTGGAATATTCTATGAAATTTTACAATAGGATCACATGTGGATGTCACCAGAGCTCTGAGGATAATATTTGTAAGTTTATGTTTTATGGGGACATTGAAAATACTGTATTTTTGTAGGATCTATTAAAATGAGTGCCACTTATTAGAAGTACAGTGGTGTTTTTGGCATAGAATTTGTCACGTGGAGACAAATGCAACTTCATTTAGCAGGTGGTGCACTGGTTTTGTTGCTGATTTATGTCAGGATAACATGATACCGTGGTTTTATAGGCTTTGACAATTAGCTACTGATTCGAGATTGGCCTTTTTGGTGTATTACACAGAAGCGGTTTTTAAGTGCATTTTAATATCTTGCGAACATCTAATGAGAGGCGTCATTTAAAGCCTAATTTTCTCTTTCAAAAGCTCCGAGCACATCACAACAACAGATGTTCTAGGCTCAGTCTTAGTCAAGAGAAGCCAACCAAGCTCAGAACATAATACTGCCGCTTGAAACATCCAGAAGGAACCCACAGCCTTCTTCCGGAAGGCAAGAGGCAACCAGATGTAGGGTTCCCACATACTTTCTTGTGCAGGAGCCTCAGGTGCTCCTAAGGTCATCAGCTGAGAGGTGGTGACCCCCCTTGATGGACTACATTGCCAGGGGTCTTGTTTGACACTTCCTTCTGTGAAGCTCAGTAATGGGGAAAGGACCTCTTGGGGAAAGTGTGGATATACTCCAGGCTACCGGCTGACAGGCAGATAGTCACACAGAGGGACATTTTCTGTTTTAGGTTAACTCAGTGGAATCATTAATCACTTGTGGCTGTGGGAGGGGCTTCTTATTGATTTTAAAGGTGACCCGAGCCAGTAATTCATTGGTCTGGGGTTATTTTTATTTTTTTGAGTAACTAACTTGCTGCCAGAAACTAGAATCTGGTTCAAGTTAACATCAAAAATGTAAGTTAAAGAGTGTGCCTTTAAGAAGGAAAGACGGAAAAAGAAAAATCTACAAGACAAAGGAGTGAGTGCCCGGTGGCACCATGAAATCTCTACCTCTTGGTGGGTCCTGGATCTTCCTGCCGAGGAAGCTGTTTGTAGACCTGGGTCAAGGGTGGTGTGCAATAGAGTGGAGACAGTAGAGACAGAAAGAACAAATACTGACAATTAGCCAAACTCTGTGGGGTTTGCAAGATAAATAGATTTAAAAGGACAATTTTCAAGACATCTTACCAGGCATGCACACTTTATTAGGTGATTCCAGCCTGCCAGGCAACACAAGCCACCAAGCATGCATGCTATGCTGACTTGAAGCCTGTGAAAGTGTGCCCGTTGCCTGTCCCTCGGCATTGTAGTAAATGCTGTCTGGGCTTTGGCTTGTGCCCCTACCTCCACAGAGAACACCTCAGATCAGGCGTGTGAACCAACGCTGACTTGTTTGCAGGGAGAACTGCATGCAAAGTGGGGCTGAGCTACTTACCGTGTGCGAGGGAAAGAGAGGAGGTTAGAGGCTAGGAAATGATGAAGGACTTTGATTTGCATATCCAAATATCAATAGAAAAGTTTCCAGACTTCCCAAACTATTCGATGGAGAAACTCAGAAGCATTTAATTTTTAGCCATAAAACCTGCCAAGCGTAAACACCTCAGTGTAGAAGTCTGGGAACCGTGTTCGTCTCAGCCCTTCTTTCCACAGGGTTTGAGTTGTCCATCATCATTTTCTGCTTCTCAGTGGCAGGAAGACTGAGGATGTCTATTCCCATGAATGCATTCTTGTGGAGAGCAAGAATATGATCTAATCAGATCAAAATTCATGTTGGTATCAGACTGACATCTAAACCATTTGTGAGTTCAGTCTGACTGATCCATGAAATGGCAAACCACCCACAGGTTCACTGGAACGCTAGAACAGCAAAAAGTAGGAAGTTAGCGAAATAATAAAGTCCAGTCAGTTACGATGGGTCCTTCAGTTCAAGACAAGCAGCATTGAGGGGCAGCAAAAGCCCTGTGGCAGAAATGTTTCTTTCCATGGCTTAACCAAATGTTTAAACAATAGTCAGTCATGCATCCATCCGCTTTCCACTCATGGGTGCAGCTTTTTGACCAACCACAACTTTGGTGAATTTTTGAAACTCAAGATTTCTTACACACCTTTTTTTTTTTCCTTAGCAGTCCTAGGAGAGGCACTCTGCCCTGGCTTGGAGCATGAAACCATGCTATGTCGCCCAAATAGAATATGGGCTGAGGGTAATTGGGTATGCACTGTGGAACACACAGAGAAAATGTTACAAAAGGTATGGATGTTGGCTCTCCTGCATGTCTGTCTAGCTCCACTTTAGTTCACAGTATGCAGCGACTTTCCCACAACACCCACGTAGAAGACTAAGGCAGATACAACCTCGTTTTCAATTCTGCTCGGGCGCACCTGGGGATGCTTCTAGCATCTTCTAGCTGCTTCTAGCGTGCAAAAGGTGGTCTCCTCTCAGAACTGTTATCCTCCTATAGACTCATGCCCAACCCACACATGCTATTCAGAGGAGGTAGGTGTAGGTTTCCATCCCACTGAGGCGAACACATGTAGCCTCCAGGGCTGCCAGAAGATCCCGAATATCATCTGAGGATTTCCACCCCTAGGGGAAGAGTCAGTGTTCACCACACCACTGACAGCAGCAAACAGCTCATGCACGAAGGTGTGTGAGGGTGTCAGTGCCTTAACAAAGCCACGTTTTTACTTCTGTGTTTATTTGGACTGTTTGCTTCTCTATTCTAAAGTGTTAGATTTTTGCCATACTGAGGAACTTTCTCTAAGCTGCTTGTATGCATATTGGGGTACCTCCTAGTCTTCCCAACCTTTAACACTGTGAGGAAATTATCCAGAAACACTCTCCTGTGTGGACAGAAACTCCCGCCTTCCATCCCAAAGAATTTGAGGGTTCTGGAACAATGAAGGGGAGAGATCACGTTCAGAGTTTGTTTTAAAAGCAACAGTGAAAATAAAGGAATCTGGGTCCCCTTGCTTTCCCACCATGTGATTGTCTTGATTTTCCTAGAGGTCATTTTTGGGAGGTGCGGATAAGGACATAAGAACTGATGGTTTTAACTTTAGCACCATCTTGACCACCTGGGTTCTGCAGATGGATTCTGTAACATTGCCTAAGTAGGGTGCAAAATTAAAAACAACAGGATCTGGCCCCAGCATGTGCAAGTAGCCAGGAGATCTGGGGTACATCTCTTTCTTACAAAATTTCAATACACACTCTTGTTTCAGCTTGACTTTATTCAGCGTGACACCGTAGAGAGTTAAATATTGGGAAATTTCAGGCAGCATTTATGTAGAAAACAATAAAATCCCGTGAATCTACCTAACACTGGACTGATACAGACCTGACCAAAGCAGAAGCGATGGACCAGACCTCAATACGTGAATTTCCAAATCCAGCATAATTTCCCTTCCTTTATTAAAAAATGGCTTTTGCTTCATTCTTTAAGCTGGTACCATTTGTATATACCCATTTGTATGTGAACTAGTGAGGGGAGAAGGATTTAAAAGTATCATTCAATATTTTCCTCCTTTGAAAGTTTTCTCCCTCTTTGAACAAGTGTATTCTTTGTAGGGTTCCCCCCCCATTTTAAAATAAAGTGACAGACATATATCACACCAGACAGACAGACAGACAGATGTCTCTAATCTAGAGGAAAATAGCTCACATAGGGTCTTGTTTTCAACGGTAAACATATATTCTTCCTTCACA